ATATATGTGAGATAACATTAAGTAGTCTTGCTATGCAAGAACACTTAATAATAATAATAATATATATGTGAGATAACATTAAGTGGTCTTGCTATGCAAGAACACTTAATAATATATATGTGAGATAACATTAAGTGGTCTTGCTATGCAAGAACACTTAATAACTAGAAAAACTACAATTTCTGGGGAAATTGTGTGAAGTGTTCTTGCCTCCACCAGGAGTCTACAACTGGAGTGGGCGGAGTAACTGTTATCATTTATATAGCACATTCAATTGCAACGTTGTTGCACAGTTACATTAAACCATACATTTATAAAAACATTAGCAGGTGTTCAAAAGGCCCTGTCTATGACATCACTTACTGCTGCAGCATTGACAGGTCAGAGTATTTTGGTGGTTGCCATCTTCAAACGGTCATATTTTAAAAACTATAATTCCTACAGCGAAGAGCTTTATATTGTGAGAATCACAAGACCCAGACCTACATTTTGATGCATAGTATGTCTCTGAAGTATTAAAATTGAAGGCACAGTCGCAGTTTAGAAATTGCACTTCAAATTTGAGCTTTGCAGAGTGAAGTTTCAATGAATGTCAATGGACGGCGTTGGTTGCAAACAAATGGTCATATTGTGAAAACTATCAGGACTACGGCTTAGCCGTTGACATGTTTAGTGGCAGCAGGGATAGCTGAACGTTTTGATATAAGATTTGTGTAGGTGGGCCTGAAAATAAGGGAGTGGTGGCAGTTTAGAAATCATGTCCTGATTTTTCAGCTTTTGCCAGCTCCCACTCTAGCTTTGCCATTCATTCCTATGGGACAAATTTCGCCACAAGAACGACGATATTCCGTGAACCATTCGGCGAAACGTTCCACAAAGTAATAGCAATCCGATCGGGAACAATCTGCACGTTTTGGTAAATTTTTGTCTATGTAGTGTAAAAACTGTGGGAGGAGTTAGGGTGGCAAATTTGGCTATAATAATAATAATAATAATATATATGTGAGATAACATTAAGTGGTCTTGCTATGCAATAACACTTAATAACTAGAAAAGCTACAATTTCTTGGGAAATTGTGTGAAGTGTTCTTGCCTCCACCAGTAGTCTACAACTGGAGTGGGCGGAGTAACTGTTATCATTTATATAGCACATTTAATTGCGCGTTGTTGCACAGTTACATTAAACCATACATTTATAAAAACATTAGCAGGTGTTCAAAAGGCCCTGTCTATGACATCACTTGCTGCTGCAGCTTGACACAGGTCAGAGTATTTTGGTGGTTGCCATCTTCAAACGGTTGTATCTTAAAAACTATAACTCCTACAGTGAAGAGCTTTATATTGTGAGAATCACAAGACCCAGACCTACGTTTTGATGCATAGTATGTCTCTGAAGTATTAAAATTGAAGGCACAGTCGCAGTTTAGAAATTGCACTTCAAATTTGAGCTTTGCAGAGTGAAGTTTCAATGAATGTCAATGGACGGCGTTAGTTGCAAACAAATGGTCATATTGTGAAATCTATCAGGACTACGGCTTAGCCGTTGACATGTTTAGTGGCAGCAGGGATAGCTGAACGTTTTGATATAAGATTTGTGTAGGTGGGCCTGAAAATAAGGGGGTGGTGGCAGTTTAGAAATCATGTCCTGATTTTTCAGCTTTTGGCAGCTCCCACTCTAGCTTTGCCATTCATTCCTATGGGACAAATTGTACAAAAGCGGCGTGTCGTGAAAGCGTTCCTAAGTAATAGCAATCGATGGGAACAATCTGCACGTTTTGGTAAATTTTAGTTTTATGTAGTGTAAAACTGTGTGGGAGGAGTTAGGGTGGCAAATTTGGCTATAATAAGAATAATATATATGTGAGATAACAATAAGTGTTCTTGCAAGAACACTTAATAAGAAATAATATATATGTGAGATAACAATAAGTGTTCTTGCAAGAACACTTAATAATAATATATATGTGAGATAACATTAAGTGGTCTTGCTATGCAAGAACACTTAATTAGAAAGGACAAAGGTTTAAAAATAATATCAGGAAGTATTACTTTACTGAGAGGGTAGTGGATGCATGGAATAGCCTTCCAGCTGAAGTGGTAGAGGTTAACACAGTAAAGGAGTTTAAGCATGCGTGGGATAGGCATAAGGCTATCCTAACTATAAGATAAGGCTAGGGACTAATGAACGTATTTAGAAAATTATGCAGACTAGATGGGCCGAATGGTTCTTATCTGCCGTCACATTCTATGTTTCTATGTTTCTATTTTTTTTTTTTTTAATTATTAAAAATAATTTTTACCTTTTGTTATTTATTTTATTAACATATTTATAATTATATTGTGTATATATACGTGTGTAATTTAAATTAAGTGGATTTTTATATTAATATATGTATATATTGTGAAGGAACGCTGGCACTCCGACTGAGTACCTCCGCCAACCGATGCTCCTAGCGCTTGCCGAGGACTCCAAGCACTCCAACCGACACCATCAGCACTGCAGACCCCACTTCCAGCGATGCAACTGCGCTGGGGTCTCTGCTGTCTCCACCCACCCTGGACCCAAGGCCAGGATCCAGCTTCCAGTGGGTGAACCTCTCTTTCCCTAGAGAGCAGGAACAAGCTCTTAGCAGAACTTAGTGATCATACCCTGGGGAGTATAGTGATTATAGCAATCCCCAGAGTGTATTTCTCCAATCCCCCAAACATGAGCCAATGCTTAATGCTGGAACAAGAATGATTTACTGGCACACAGAACTCACAATTTATGCAACACAAAACTCCTCCTCTGGGCCAGGCTAGATAATTGAGTTTCTACAATACACAAAGCTCAATTATCTGCTGGCCAGAAATAATACAGTTTCATAAAACACACAGGGACCCCAAAACATGCAATAACCCCATAAAAAGTATATCATTGGAACCGGGGGATCTGGGTGAACCACATATCCAAAATTCACCCAGATCCGTTCAGTACTTTGGAAAATCCAGTTTAATGCAGATTCTGCATAACATATACAGGCTAAATGAAAAGCAATCACTTTATAATGTGTCCCCTGCTGTATAGTCCAAAACCACTGCACGATGTCTCTGTGCACCAAATACTGGCAAGATGGCACCGTGTTGAAAAGTCCAAACAGTGTCTGTGAGTTAAAATGGCCACCATCCATTGTTCTCACCATGTGCTTCTGATACAGGAAATGGTGGCCACCCAGTAACTCCACAGTATGTCCCCAGATGGTTCTTAAAAGGGCCAGCAGCAGCACAACACAAATCCATTATGCCAAAATCATGTCTTTAAAGGGCAATACATCCCAGGGGCCATAGTCACAGGGCAAGAGGCGGGCAAGCAGTCCTCTCCAGGCACAAGTGGCGAAGGGCACTTCGTCACACATCTTCCCTTTGGGGGGAAGACTAAACAGGTACCTGACCTTCTGCCGGTCAGTACCTAGATTAGTCGGGCAGCCCACCCACAAAGAAAAATACGCAGAGTAACCCCCCCACAATAAATGGTACTGGCCTGTAGGTTCAAGTTTGTAGTGGGACAGCGCAGCACTCTCGGTCTCCCTGGTGCAGCTAGGCAAACTGCTGGTGTTGCTTGGGGGGCAGAGGCCAGCGGTGCTCTGCCCTGCTGCCAGCTCTTCCACTGGGGTAACCCGTGGTAAGTCAGGCTCTGATACAGGGGAAAAGGGGGGGCAGAGGCTAACAGAGCTCTGCCCAGATGCCAGCTCTTCTGCTGGGAGGGGGTCAGTGGGTATCGCAGGCTCATCCACTGCCCCCAGGACCCGGTTGGAATGTAGCTGGGGAGGGGAAGTTTCGCTTACCTCCTCCTCCTGGCATCCCTGCGGGGTTGGTTGGGGATCTGGTCTGCCCGTCCAGCCTCCCTGTAGGACTGGCACAGAGACCGCGGTCCCATCTGCGCCAGTGTGGTTAGGTTTGTCTTCCCCCTCTCCCGGTATCTCTGGCTTTTGTTGGAGGGGAGGCTGTTTGCTCCCACTCTCCAGGACGCTGGTTGCTGTAAGGTGGAGGGATCGACCATCACCTCCTCCTGGAACTCAGGCCGCCGCTGGGGAGAGAGACCAGTTGTCTCCTCTCCCTGTATATTATACTGCCGCTGGGGACCTGGGCTGACTGCCCAGCATCCCTGTAGGGCTGGCAGAGAGACTTTTCATCTCTTGCCATCTCTGTGTGTCCCCAGGACACGTCTATGAGGTCCACTACCTCAGGTACCTCTGGTTGGTGGAGGAGAGGGAGGCCGGTTGCCTCCCCTCCCCAGGACGCTGGTTGCTGTATGGGGGAGGGATCTACCATCACCTCCTCCTGGAACTCAGGCTGCTGCTGGGAAGGGAGACCGGTTGTCTCCTCTCCCTGTGAGATACAATGCCGCTGGGGATCTGGGCCGGGTACCCAGCATCCCTGTGGGGCAGGTGGAGAGACCACGGTTCCATCTCCACCTGCCATCTGTGGGTCTTCCCAGGACCGTTCCATAATGTTGCTCACCTCTGGGGCTGGTTGGACAGAAGAGGGTAGGGTGTCCAGGTAATCCTCTGGGCTGAGGGACGGTGATTGGGCTAAGTTGAACAGGCGTCGGTAGCTCTGCTCCAGCCCCCACTCCATTGCGACCAGATGACTCAGGTCTGGCCCCAGGTCGTCCGCTCGGGGAAGATCCAGCAGGGTTTCCCTGATGTTGTGGATGTCCCAGAACCGAAACTCTGTGGGGCATCCAAAGTCATCGCCCTCCTCATAGGCCTCCCACAGTAAGCCCGGGCCATTATAATCCTCTCCCTCGGGCAGATAGTGGTTAGTCATCGAGGGGTTGCGCTGGGTGGCGTACCACTTTAATGCCCGGTAAGCTGCATCTAGCCACAACTCCTTCCAAATTAAATCCCAGAGTTCCAACAACCATTCATCCAAGGGTTGCTCCCCTAGGAAAGGGGAGCGCAGGGCCTCGAGTACCTGGAACCGTTGCTCGTCACTGGGAAGGCTCTCTCCCCGCCGCCGTTGTACCTTTTCCAGGGCATCGTGCCACATCTCCGTACGAGTGACATCTCTCCAGTCCAGTATGCACTCCTCTGATACAGGCCCGTCCTGTTGGGCCAAGTGCTGCTGCAACCTCCAGCGAAACTCCTCTTCCATGTTGCTGTGGATAGGGACGCTGCCCGTAGCTAGCTCTATCCCTTGAGTTCCTCTGAAGCCAGGGTCGCTGCACAAGTGCTAGCGTTGCCCTCAATTATAAATCCGTAACTCCACACGTTACCAGTGTCTCCGAGCTGCTGGTCCTCGCACTAGGACGCCATCCCACCACTGCCACCAAATGTGACGGAACGCTGGCACTCCGACTGAGTACCTCCGCCAATCGATGCTCCTAGTGCTCGCTGAGGACTCCAAGCACTCCAACCGACACCATCAGCACTGCAGACCCCACTTCCAGCGATGCAACTGCGCCGGGGTCTCTGCTGTTTCCATCCACCCTGGACCCAAGGCCAGGATCCAGCTTCCAGTGGGTGAACCAACTCCGACTGAGTACCTCCGCCAATCGATGCTCCTAGAGCTTGCCGAGGACTCCAAGCACTCCAACCGACACCATCAGCACTGCAGACCCCACTTCCAGCGATGCAACTGCGCTGGGGTCTCTGCTGTCTCCACCCACCCTGGACCCAAGGCCAGGATCCAGCTTCCAGTGGGTGAACCTCTCTTTCCCCAGAGAGCAGGAACAAGCTCTTAGCAGAACTTAGTGATCATACCCTGGGGAGTATAGTGATTATAGCAATCCCCAGAGTGTAGGTATCCCTTCCCCCAAACATGAGCCAAGTCTTAATGCTGGAACAAGACTGATTTACTGGCACACAGAACTCACAATTTATGCAACACAAAACTCCTACTCTGGGCCAGGCTAGATAATTGAGTTTCTACAATACACAAAGCTCAATTATCTGCTGGCCAGAAATAATACAGTTTCATAATACACACAGGGACCCCAAAACATGCAATAACCCCATAAAAATTCTGCAGAACATATACAGGCTAAATGAAAAACAATCACTTTATAATGTGTCCCCTGCTGTATAGTCCAAAACCACTGCACGATGTCTCTGTGCAACAAATACTGGCGAGATGGCACCGTGTTGAAAAGTCCAAACAGTGTCTGTGAGTTAAAATGGCCGCCATCCATTGTTCTCACCATGTGCTTCTGATACAGGAAATGGTGGCCACCCAGTAACTCCACAGTATGTCCCCAGATGGTTCTTAAAGGGCCAGCAGCAGCACAACACAAATCCATTATGCCCAAATCATGTCTTTAAAGGGCAATACATCCCAGGGGCCATAGTCACAGGGCAAGAGGCGGGCAAGCAGTCCTCTCCAGGCACAAGTGGCGAAGGGCACTTTGTCACATATATAAATATAAAAATACACTTAGTATGATATATATATATATATATATATATATATATATATATATATTATATTATATATAGGTATAATACATGTATGTATGTATGTATATATATATATATATATATATATATATATATCATACATATTATTATTTTTTTTACACTGGTTACTTTATTTTGTAACTTTTTTTCTGATTTCCTACTTGCAGGGAGACTGCCTGTCAGCACAGACAGTCCCCCTGCAGGCAGATACACAGGCACCTATTGCGGCCATGTGATCGAGTGATCACGTGGCCGCGGGGTCCTGATCTGCCGAGGGGAGATTGCCCGGGTAGACAGGCAGTCTCCCTGGACCGGGAGAAGCGATGATCGCCGCCGGGGGACCGACGGCATTCGGGTAAGTAGCCCCAGACCGTTATGACGGTTCAGGACCGTCTTCCGTCCCTAAGGTAAATTTTCGGATGACTGCCCTGAACCGTCTTCGGTCGTCATGGGGTTAAAATCTACTTTGCGTGAACAGTTCCTTCTGAGATGTAAAGATTTACTCTTGGGTATTCTGTCTAACCATGGTCTATAGTGACAGCTTGTTTTATCAATGATATTATTGGTACAGACCTTTTTTTAAAAAAGTTTGCGTATGAATAATGACAGCTGTATAAAAATGTGTAAGTCTAAAAAGTTAATAAAATGTTATTTTTTATTATATTTATCTAATCTTACATTTATTTGCATGTTAGGTCTCTTATTCTATCCCATTTTTTTAAGTGAATCTACCTATTTAAGGCAACTTATGTTGGTTATAATGTTTTCACCCGTGTCTTTTTAGAGTGGCGCTAATCCTCTACATTTTTATTTTGTTTATTTCTTATTGCCTATTATAAGTGTCATGTATTATCTCACAACTTTTTGAGGCTTTGTTGCAAAATTGATTTTACAATAGAAGTCTATTTAAAACAAATTTATATTTCCTGTTATTTTGTTAAAAAAAAATCACTAAAAGTAAGCCTGCAGGAGGAGGAGCTGCAGGCTAAAGTTCCCGTGCCTCCGCTGTGCCTCCAGGGATTGCAATGTCTCCACTTTCCCCCTTTATTCCCTTTTTTAAATAACAAAATATATACACTTTGTTCCCTTATGAAACCCATATAGTGGGGCCGGCTTTGACAAGGCTCTATGCTGTGGGACAACTGGTTTTAATGGGGCCACACACAGCCTTTTATGTCAATCCCAATGCAAGGGGCACTCCCCTCTGGACCTAAGAGTTGACTACAGTAAAAACAAACACACGATTACATTGGCTCTCAGGTCAAGGACACTCCCATACAAAATAAGATAATCTATCTCATGTGCCTGGGAGATAATTGAGTCAGGAACTGTATTAACTCAATTATCTCCAGGTACAGAGAACACACATTTTACCCCCAAAGTACCCCCAAAACCCATTGAAAGCCCACAAAAGTTGCATCCCCTAATAGCCCCGATCTGGGTGACCAACTTATCCAAAAATCATCCATATCGGTTCAGGGGTTCGGGATTTCCATGAAGGTCTTATTTTGACCGACCGCACATGAGGATCCTGCCCAAAATAGTTTCATGAAATCAGGCTGTGCAGTTGGTCTCTTTTGGCACTACTCAATATACCAAAATACCGAACATATCGGTTTGTGGGTAGGTTCAGTCTATGTCTCTTGTTCGGGAGCTTGCTCCCACTGAAGCCTTTCAATTCCCATATGTTTAGCCGAACGTCGATAGCAGGGACGTTCTAGCGGTGTTCGTGCTATTTAGTGTCCGATTTGGGTTCCATGCATTCGACGCCCAAACACCGCTCAGTGTGTTTGTGGCTAAAGATGGCTGCCGCCACCTGTTCGTATCTTGAACTGCGACCACCCAGCTGACTGCTTACTACACCTGCGGTTTTAGAAGTGTTAATGAGGTGACAGATGTTAATGAGTGGCACACTCCACATATGGGTGGTCTAGTCATTCGGTAGTTTGTTCGGTAGGTAAATTAAATAAAAATTAAAATGAAGGAGAATACAATGTCCTGTATTCATAGGGGAATGAAACAAAGGGATTACAATCCAGGGACAGGGTGATCTGTCACAAATGCTAGGGTGACAGAAAAATTTTTGAAAAATTTATGTCTCTAAAATTTTTCAAGAGACTGTATTCATGTGTCTAACAGAAACTAGTCAAGAGATTGTATTTTCTGCCTCTAGTAATACAGAATATCTGCTTTTACAGTGGACAGCATCGGGATTAGTGGTGAGCTGAAATTCAAACTTAAAGATGTACTCATTCAACAGCAGCAGTTCACCCTTGGGCGTACTTTGGGAAAAGGTAAGTTCTAAACAGGGTAAGAATATATGCATTTTTCTAAGGTAGAAATAGACAATTTACTGCCCATTATTAGTTGGTTAGCTTCCTCCAGTGTGGTTTATAGC